CGTTACGCCACGGACACAAACAGGATCCAAACTTTTTTCGCGGTCGCAGCTGGAGAATTCTCTCATCACGGTTTACGTCTGTCGGCTTAGGAGGAGAAGGGAAGAGTGTCGGAGAAGGGAGGAAGAAGACAAACTGAGTCGACGGCTGCTCTACCTCAGCCCACTCCCGCATCCCGCTCACAAATCCAAAGAGACGTGGATGAAAGTCCAAAGCCAGGACTGGTGGAGCCTGGATCGTCCAACGAGCATGTGCTGAACGAACGGAATTATTTTAAGGCTACGTTTATGTGATGACGGTCTGAAGAGATCGACGCAAAAGTGGCATCGCGTCTTCACTTTTTATTCCGCGTTTAGACGAGCGTTTTCAGGAGGAAATCTGCGTGCATACGGTGACGCAAAAGTGTGTGGAATTCGATTGGGTCTGTACAGAAGCCGAGAGGGGTCACAACAAACGCAAACTCCGCAACAAATACAAATGCGACAAGACAACAAAAAGCCACAACAAACCAAAAAAAGCCACAACGGAAATGACCGCAGGACTCTATTTTAATGCAAATGCCGCAACACAAACGCAAATGCCACAACACATTAAAAAAACACAACACAAAAAGCCACAACACAACACAATTAAAAAGCCACAACACATTAAAAAGACACAACACATTAAAAAGCCACAACACATTAAAAAGCCACAACACATTAAAAAGACACAACACATTAAAAAGCCACAACACAAAAAGACACAACACATTAAAAAGACACAACACATTAAAAAGACACAACACATTAAAAAGACACAACACATTAAAAAGCCACAACACATTAAAAAGCCACAACGGAAGTGACCGCGAAACTCTATTTTCCGACGGACCGATCAAGCGGCAAGTGAAGAAGAAGAACTACAACGTGAAACAAATAATGATAAAACAATAAATTACTTTTTCTTACGTTTCTTACGTCACTTCCGTTGTGGCTTTTTAATGTGTTGTAGCTTTTTAAGGTGTTGTGGCATTTGTGTTGTGGCGTTTGCATTAAAATAGAGTCCCGCGGTCATTTCCGTTGTGGCTTTTTTTGTTGTGTTGTGGCTTTTTGTTGTGTTGTCTCATTTGTATTTGTTGCGGCGTGTGCGTTTGTCGTGACCCCTCTCGGCTTCCGTACGTCTGTCTTGTCTGCGACGAACTGGTGCATCCAGAATTTGACAGAGGTGATTTCAGATCCTTCTCTGTTCACTCATAGAATCTCTGCAGATTCTCGACATTTGTTGGGAGCCTCCTGTGAGTTTATTAGAGCTGCTTGAAGGTCCGACGCATGGAAATGATCCGACATTTGTTTCTGTGTACTGTATGTATGTGACGTAAACGCGTACGCGACGTGAACAGATCTGACCAGAGTTTTGCGTCTTGGGCAGTGTAGATGGAAACGCTACGGCGGCGCGTGTCCAACTTTTCCACTCTGGGTGGTTTCAGATTTTTGCCTTTTTAAGCCCCAAAAACGCCGTCACCGTCTAAACGAAAGGCACATCCGATAAAATATTTTGTCGTTTTTACCCGCAAGTGTTCTCATGTAAACAGATCCTAAGAACAACAAACATTTACATGATCAAGGAATAAATAATTTGGCTTTAAAATCAGAATAAACCACCCTCTTACTGTGGAATTAAGTTTAATTCCGAATAATAATTTTCAACAGGAATTAAGTGTTTACGTGGTCTTTTTAAAGTAGAATTATTTTTTATTCAGAATTTAATTATTCAGAATTAAAGTTCTCATGTAAACGTTTCAGTAGTTGGTGTCATATTTGTGTCAGATGCCCTCCCGTTCTTCTATCCCTGGGGTTGTTCAGTGTCCTGTTATACACAACATTTTGAGCACATATATTATTTAGTTTTAATTATTAATCAACGATCTGACAACCTGTGCATGTCTCTGAGTCAGATGCCCTCCCATGATTCCATATCCCTGTGTGTCAGATGCCCTCCCAGCCTCAAAATATTCAATATGGGCAGAACAATAGTGCAAAACTTGTCTCCCATTCAAAGTTCAAAAGTCAAAGTTAGTTTTATTGCCAATTACTTCATATGTTCTAGACATTGTACTAGACATATAAAGAAATCTAAATTATGTTCCGCTCTATCCCATGTACACAGCATGAATCTATTAAAATAACACACAGACACAACAAATAACATCTCTAACCACTAAGGATGTAACAATAACTGAAATATCGTGGTATCGTATCGTCAAAAGTCTCACAATAATATCGTGGGGCGTCACAATAGATCGAATTACAAGTTCCTTTGCTTAAATTCATGGTTTTATAGCAACAACAGCTTATAAACATGGGAAACTACATATCCCATGATTCATTTCAGCGCAGACAACATGAAGAAATATGTTTTTTACTTGAATTCTTGGGATTATGATGGAAATAATTCACACCAAAATCTTGTCAAAGTATTTTAAAAGCAAAAAAGTGTCCTACAAATCTACAATTATATCAGTCTCTTCAAAATATCGCAGTAAATATCGTACCGTGAGATGCATATCGTGATAACATCGTACAGAGAGATTATCCACTACAGCAGGGGGGTCAAACTCATTTTGTTCCGGGGGCCGTATCCAACCGACTTTGATCCCAAAGGGTCCGGATCAGAAAACTCATGTCATATAAACCTCAAAAATAACAATAAGTTCAAATATTTGTGCAGAGAAACACAAATCTATTACAGAAATCTTTTTTAATTGATGAACTTTTTCTTAAAATATTGTAATATTATGAACAACCTGAAACTTATAAAAAATACAATTTCAACTCAATATTTTAACATGAACTTAAAATAGGAATAAGTCAATTTTTGTTGTAAAATCCTGCACTCGGCTCCACTTTTCTCATGTTGGACATTTTTCTGATGAGGGTGTCACGGTCAACAGTCAAAACGATCGTCCTTTAAGAGCGTTTGGAAAGAGACAAGTCTTCATTTGTGCTGCTCTGGTGGGAGGGGCCACGTACAGAGACACTGGAGACGCTGCTGTGATAAACACCACAGAAAATTAATAATATTTTAATAAAAAATATAATTAAAATATTTTAGTAGAAAATCAGCCGAGGGCCAGATTAAAGGTCTTGGAGGGCCGGATCTGGCCCCCGGGCCGCATGTTTGACACCTGTGCACTACAGTAACCATAGATACATAAATTAAGTAAAAAATTTTCTTTAAAAATGATAAAGAATTGTTAAGTTAAAAGAAGTAGTAGTGTAGAGTTAAACTGACATGAGGACGGGTTAAATACAGATTTTGTGGAAAGGAAATTATCACTTTATTATCAGATTAAACAGCTGTTAAATTCAGATGACTTGTGTATTTATTCATTTATAGAAAATAATTTGTATAATACTTTTCTGTTGTGTGTAACGTTTAAAGACCAACAGGTTTTTTTGAACATTTGTTGACGTTCAATATTTCCAGCTGCATCTGTGACGCGTCTGCTGCTGCCGTGAGCTCTCCAACACTTCTACGAAAGGTAAACAGTTTTCATTTATTTATGCTTATTTTTCAGATTATTTATCCTTTCACAACATTTATAATTTACACTGGTATTATTTGTTTAAAGTGTTACTGATTGATTCGAAACTTTACCGTGTTTAAACTTGTATTTTGACACTTGAACCGTTTGTGTGTTGATTCTAACTGTCAGTCAGTTCATGCGTCCGTTAAGTTTATCGAAGTACGACTTTGTTTATGAAAATGTTCAATGATTATATGATTTTATTAACGTTAGTATAAATTATTAGGGCTGCTCGATTATGGAAAAAATCATTATTATTATTATTTATTTTTTTTTTTTTAGTTACATGATGCATTTATTCAGCATTTCTCTCTCAAAAAAAAAACTGTTTGTTATTGATAATTTACGCAAAACTTTGAAAATAAATATAGTCTACAAATATGAACCTTAAAGCAGTTTTGCGATGTATAAAACATAAAATGAATAAAATAAACTTTGAATGTGAAATAAGGTATAGAAAAACATAAATGTATCCAAAATAAATTATATATCCAGCTGTTCTACAATCTCTATATTAAAAAAAAATAAATAAATTTAGCTTTATGAATATGAGTTTGGAGATCGTTTGACACACAAATCGAAATCATGATCAAAATTCAATTAATTGCACAGACTTATGTGTAAATTATATGTGTTTTAAGAAATAAATAAAGGTTTTTAACTTATATTTTGAAAACTTACAACAACTTTCACGGCCGTTAGTTACAGTTGGCATCAACTGAACAGTTCATATCACCATGGCAACAACAACAACAACAACAACATGACTGTTTGACTTAATGTTTTCTAAAATAAGTTAAGTTAAAACCCTTTATTTATTTCTTAATCTCATATAAATTACATTATATATTATATTAATGTTAATAAAATCGTATAATCGTTGGACATTTTCATAAACAAAGATACTAAATTCAATTGATGGTGATTTTTTTAAGCTTTTTTGTGTATTATTATTATTTTCATTTTATGTATTTATTTATTTTTTGAGCTATTAACTCAAATAAAATTTATAGTGTCCCCCAGTTGTTTTACATAATCATAGTTGACACCTTTTTTTTTTTTTTTTTTGGCTTTTTTGTGTTATTATTATTATTATTATTATTTTATTTTATTTTTATTTTATTTCAAATTATATTTTCTCAAACCATAAAAGAAAAGTACTTTTAAATCTAAAATGTAGTGGAGTAGAAAGTACAGGTACCTGCTCTCAAATGTAGTAAAATAAAAGTAGATGCCTTTAAATTGTACTTAAACATTGTACTTTTACTTGTGTACTTGGTTAACTTCCACCACAGTTTAATTTGACGTTTAAATCGTTTCTGGGAACACGGAATTTTAAAAGGGACAATTAACAAACACAAAGCAAACGCCTCTGTAACTTCCCCTTCGCGGCACCGTTAGTCACAGCCACTTCTCTTAAATGTGCATAAAACCACATGACAGGAACTTGGGTCTCTGGTCACATGAACTTACAAATATTGTGTAACCGTCCGCGCCAGCTCAGGCATTCCCCATTAGAACCCTCTGCTGCGTGACCGGCCTCCCGAGAATCTACAAAATTGGCTCTAACTTGGACGCGCTGGCCAGTAATTTCTGTGCGTTTTTTTCCCCAGGGCATCTCGTAAATTCCTGGATACCGAGGACGGGCGAAGGAGGAGAACAAGAAGAAGAAGAAGAAGGGAAGTCAGTTGTGAGCCGTCGGACTTGAGGACTGCTGCTCTCCTCTGCGCGCGAAGAAGGTGAAATGTCTTTTATAATCACCCGACAGGTATTCATTAGGTTAATAGCCACGTTGCCATGGCGTCGCCTCGGCTGTCTTTAACCACCGCTCAGGGCTTAGAGCTTTACGTGGACTAACTGCATGAGCTTGTACCGAGGTTTGTGTAAAAGTGTGTGCACATTTAGATGGATATATATATATATGTATACGGCCCAGGCTGCTTTGAAACGGCGTTAAAGTTAAAGAATAACGTTTACAACAGTGGACACTTTTTACAAGGCAGGTCAAAATCAGATAAGCAGAGTAATCGGATAACCCAAAATTGGATCTGGTGACCTGTGTCAGTGAATCTGTGGGTTTTTAGAGTGACTATTATATACAGAAAACAAAGCAGGATGTGTTTTAAAAGTCTGAAGTTATGTGAAATTGACTCTCGTGAGATTTAAGTCATGTTAGAATGTTGTTAGTTTCCCGAAAAACACGCTTTAAGTTGTGTTTTTGTTTATTATTTGTTTGTCTCAGGGGCGTCAAACTCAAATTCACAGAGGGACAAAATTAAAAACTGGGACTAAGTCGTGGGACAAACTGACTATTTATTGAAAAAATTCAGCAACATCATCTGCATGTTTTCTCTTTTTTTCTTATTAAAATAAATGTTTAAAAATAGTTTGCTTAAACACTGAATTTAAATAAATAATGTCTCTATAGCCTATGTGTAACTTTAGAACTCCTGTTAAATGTTTATTATTATTATTGTTTTAATAATAATAAGTTGAAAATCCAGTCTTTCAACAATCATAAAGAAAACATTCATCCAAGCTCAGTTTGCTGGACTGTGATTTACTCTGAAACACATGGGTCCAAAACAGATACAAATACTTGGCATCAAAGTAGTAGAAATAGTAGCAGTAGTAGTAGTAGTAGTATTAGTAGGAGTAGTAGAAGTAGGAGTAATAGTAGGAGTAGTATTAGTAGCAGTAGTAGTAGGAGTGGTAGTAGTAGTAGCAGTAGTAGCAGTAGTAGTAGTAGTAGCAGTAGTAGTAGTAGTAGTAGTAGTAGTAGTAGTAGTAGTAGTAGTAGTAGTAGTAGTAGTAGTAGTAGTAGTAGTAGTAGTAGTAGTAGTAGTAGTAGTAGTAGTAGTAGTAGTAGTAGTAGCAGTAGTAGCAGTAGTAGTAGTAGTAGTAGTAGTAGTAGTAGTAGTAGTAGTAGTAGTAAGTAGTAGTAGTAGTAGTAGTAGCAGTAGTAGTAGTAGTAGTAGTAGTAGTAGTAGTAGTAGTAGTAGTAGTAGTAGTAGTAGTAGTAGTAGTAGTAGTAGTAGTAGTAGTAGTAGTAGTAGTAGCAGTAGTAGCAGTAGTAGTAGTAGTAGTAGTAGTAGTAGTAGTAGTAAGTAGTAGTAGTAGTAGTAGTAGTAGTAGTAGTAGTAGTGAATGTGTCATACTGGTGTGTCAGTCGGTGGTTCAGCTCTAATACGTATTTGATTTGATCTCGTGGGCCAAATATAATTATATTGTGGGTCAAATTTGGCCCCCGGGCCTGAGTCTGACACGTCTTTTCTGTCTACATCTGCAAAGCTTAAAATGCTCCGTTCTACCTTGTGATGTCAGGAAGTGTTAGATTTCAAGTGAACAGCTCCTTTTTACTTTTAGGTCAGTAGAGTTTTGGCGTTTCCGGATGACAGAAAATGGCACAAAATGAGACGTTTAAAGTCACTCTTCCAATTTGTTACATTTTCACTTTCATCATTTTTCATTTTCGTCTTTCCCGCTTGAGTTTATCCTTTTTTTTTGCACAGTTTTTTCCCTTGTCCAATCTGCACATGTGTGAACGATCGGACAGAAATCAGATTACTCATGGAGCTGTTTACTTGACATTTCCTTAACCTGATAACGCCGCAGATCAGATTACGATGTGCATGTAAACACAGCCAGTGATATGATGATGAGCCAAGTTTTTATTATTTTCTTTTTTTCGTATAAAGTGTTATCGCATTGCTGTTTTATGCTCATCGTGTTGGCTTTTGGCTCTTGAAAAAAGCATTTCTGAATCTGAATGAACTGAACTAAGACTTTGTACATGCTTTATTAATGCTGTTTAAAAAAGTTGTTTTGGAATCAGATAAGTCTTGAGGTTTATTTCATTGTTTTGTGGGAGAATTCTGAAAATACTAGATGGTAAAAAATATTATCTAAAAGTATTGGATGTCTTTATGTGAAAATAATTTGGTTTATGATTTTAAAAAAGTGTTGAAAATTACAAATAGTTGCAATTGAAATCTGACAGTTTGACAGGGAGAGGTTTCAAATGTTGTTTTATTCTGTTGCCATGTTTGTTACAAAAAAGCTGATTGGATTTAGGATCAGTTTCAGGGTTAAAAAAGTGTTCCTCGTGTTCTCTGGAAGTGCTGCTGGACTTTGTGGGAGTGTTCTGGGTCTCGTCTTGTCATGGGACAGTCTCGTGTTGTCCAGCCCAACACCACAGTCCGGTCAAAAAAACACACACAGAAGCAGTTTAAAGTGGAACTAAACTCCAGATCCACGTTTTACCACTTCTAACTCTGTACGTGAGGCAGAGGTGAGGTTGAGTCGTTGTTTCTGCAAGTCTCAAGTCTTTGACCTCAAGTCTGAGTTAAGTCCCAAGTTGAATATGGGCAAGTCCAAGTCTAGTCTCGAGTCACTGGTCCATAAGTCCAAGTCAAAACCAAGTCGTTTGCTTTGAGCTTCAAGTCATTTCAAGTTTTCAAACCAAAGATTTTTGCAATTTATATGAATTTTAAACTAAATCAGGGGTGTCCAAACTTTTTTAATCAAGGGCCACATATCTAACACAGATGAACCAAAGGGCTGATCGAGGACCATAGACTGATGCTCAGTACAGTGAATAACTGAAATATGTGCATGTTTAACACGTTAGAATGAGCCGTCAGTCTTTATTCATGTTAAGATCCTTAAAACCACACACTACATGTTAAATATTAGCTTGATCAAGGTAGATTTTCAGAAAACTTGCATTAAAAAGTTAATTTTTAATTGATGCAAGGTAATCTGTGCCAGTTCTCCTGGAAGACTGAGGGCCAAGAAAAATTTGTCTGAGGGCCGCATTTGGTCCACGGGCCATAGTTTGGACATGCCTGACCTAAATTGCACTAAAATAAATCATAGTATATTTATATATGAGTATTCATAGAGTATATAAGAGCTGTAGAAGTGTAAATTTTTGCTTTTTAAATGTCCTAACAAGGTCTTAGTTTGAATCATTACGGTCAGAATAGAAAGAATTCAGATTTAAAAGTGCTTCTCAAGTCACAGGCCTCAAGTCCGAGTCAAGTCCCAAGTCACTGACCTTCAAGTTCAAGTTGCGTCCCAAGTCTTAGTCCATTTTATCAAGTCAAGTCTCAGGTCCTAAAAATAGTGAGTCAAGTCTGACTCGAGTCTAAGTCACTAATTTGCAAGTCCCCACATCTGATATGTTTTAATAACTTTATCCACCGTCTCTTATGATTTTTGTCCACTTTAGTGCAAAGTATATCTGCAGCTTTGTGTTCAAAAATGTCTAAATCTAAGTTTGTGCTGCCTCCAATAACCTCTGCTATCTAAAGTAGTTGGTAACATCACAAAACTCTGCCCTGATTACAGCTTTGTGTTTCTGATACAAACAGCAGGCTGCAGGGGCGGAGTCTGAAGTGTGGAAACCTGTTCGACCAATCACAGTGCTCCTTATAGCCCCAGACCACGCCCCCTCCTCCTCTCCCCTCGCTCCCCCCTTTCGTCCTCCAGTCACTGCCCGGTTTAGCAGCTCTATTTGTAATGCAGTTGTGGTTGTGGGCGCTTGTTTAGGTCTTTAGTGCCACTTTAAATTAGTCTATAACAACAGCTTTTGGCCGTTAGCGACGCAGCTTTGCACTTAAAGCTGTTTTACTGTTTACTCTTATTATGTTGTTATTTTTGCAATAAAGTTTGTCTGTTATATGTGAACTTACACTTTTATAAATAAGAAAACCTGGGAAAAAGAGCTTGAATAATAACACACATGTTTGAGTAATCCTTTATTATTATTAGTCTGTTTACATCTCCAAACCTCAAAATGCTCTGTTCCACCTTGTGATGTCATGTAGTGGTAGTTTTCAAGTTAACAATTGCGTTTTATCTTTTTTTTTTCAGTAGAGATCGGTAATTCCAGGGCTAAAATCATCCAAATGATTCTAGTGAAGGTGTGTGGAGTTTAAAAACACAGTGGAGCACCTTCTGTATTACAACATGACATCACAAGGTGGAACAGAGTGTTTTCAGTTTAAGAGAAGAAGCCTAAATATGCAGGATTTGTGTGTTAAACATGTGTGAATGAAACAAAACAACTCCAGGTCTGTTTGTGATGAGGAAACAACATTACCGTATTTTTCGGACTATAAGTCGCACCAGCAAAAAAATGCATAATGAAGAAGAACATAAACATATATAAGTTGCACTGGACTATAAGTTGAGCTTTTTGGGGAAAATTTATTTGATAAAATCAGAGACCAGGAACCGACATTTCATCTTAAAAGTCAAGTTCTAGTAAAAACAATAGAAGAGAAGAACAACAGACTGTTAACGTCACATATGAACAGTTCTTAACTATAAAATAACTATAACATAAACAACAGAACAGAACAAGTTTAACAAACTCTCCATCTCACTCCAAATCAATAAATCCATTCAATTCTTCATCCTCGGTGTCACTTCTGAGCAACTCCGTGACCTCCGGAGGTAAACAGAGCGCCTCTTAATCTTCTGTGTCGCTGTCGTCAGACTCAGCATCAGTTCCAGTTAGAATTATTCCGGCCTTTCTAAATCCCGACAGGATGGTTTCAGTGTCACTGAAGTTCAGGCTTTGTCCGTCCATGTAGTGCACAGGTGTCAAACATGCGGCCCGGGGGCCAGATCCGGCCCTCCAAGACCTTTAATCTGGCCCTCGGCTGATTTTCTACTAAAATATTTTAATTATATTTTTTTAATTAAAATATTATAAATTTTCTGTGGTGTTTATCACAGCAGCATCTCCAGCATCTTTGTGCGTGGCCCCTCCCACCAGAGCAACACAAATGAAGACTTGTCTCTTTCCAAACGCTCTTAAAGGACGATCGTTTTAACTGTTGACCGTGACACCCTCATCAGAAAAATGTCCAAAATGAGAGTTTTGGAGCCAAGTGCAGGATTTTCCAAGAAAAACTTTGTTATTCCTATTTATACATGTTAATGTTAAACAAGTTCATGTTAAAACATTGTGTTGAAATTGTATTTTTCTTAAAGTTTCAGATTGTTCATAATATTATAATATTTTGTAAAAGAAAGAGTTCATCAATTAAAAAAGATTTCTGTAATAGATTTGTGTTTCTCTGCACAAATATTTGAACTTATTGTTATTTTTGGGGTTTATATGCCAGGAGTTTTCTGATCCGGCCCCTTTGGGATCAAAGTCGGTTGGATACGGCCCCTGGACCAAAATGAGTTTGACACCCCTGATCTAGTGACTTCAGGAAAGTTGCATGGCGCACCAGCCCAGTTGCCGTGAAGCTGTGTTCTCCATCCCCGCTTTCCACCAGTCTCTCACAAGTTTCTCGCTCACTCCAAACTTTCTTTCTGCTGCTCGATTACCGTTTTCAGCTGCACTACTTGCAGCAGGACAGAGCCTCTTTCTGCAGGAGACATGCGCAGTAAAGGGTGAAGTGACAGTGGTACAGGAGGAACAGGAGCAGCAGATACTGACACACAAGACTAGAGCCTCTCACGGCTTCAGTGTGAAAACTTTAATATACAAGTCGCACCAGAGTATAAGTCGCAGGAAACACCCAAACCATGAAAAAAAGTGTGACTTACAGTCCGAAAAATATGGTAAAACATTGAAAATAGTGTCATATGGGCTCTTTAACAAAGCTTTGGTTGTATTTACTCTCTTCTCGTAGCCTTAACTTCACATCTTCTCTCTCTTTCTCTCCCTCCACGCGCAGTACTCCCCGTCCGAGTACCACAGAATGGCCAGTGCGACGTGCTGCCTCTGGACCCTGGTGTGGCTGCTGATCCTGCTGTTCATCGGCTGGCCCCTGAGCATCTTCCTGGGGGGTCTGTACGGCCTGATCAGCCCCCTGACCACCTGCGTCGGCCTGGACCGCCTCTCCGACCTGCTGCTGGAGGGCGCCAACGTGGGACGCACCTGTGCCCTGAACATGCGGCACGCCAAGCCCCTGTGCTGAGACCCCGCCCCCTTAAACCCTGCCCCCTTCACCGCTACAATGGGCAGGGAATAAAGACATGAGATAAGTTTTGTGATCACGTGGTGCTAGTGTTTTTATGGAAGCGAATCGACGAACGGCGAGCTCAATCTTAACGTCATTACTTCATGTCCGGTTGTATCTATGTTTGGTTTTTGCTCACACATTAATCTCACATTAAAATTAATAAATACTTAGGAAAAATGTGGTTGAGTGTGACATGTTTTATACTTAACAAACTTGTGCTTAGAAAGATTTTGTCTCAATGTTAATGCAAATTTTAAGTTATAACAGATATTAAAACGACACCTACGTCTAAAAACAATCAACTAATTTGTACTTTTAGTCTTTACAGTTAAAACAACTCACTTTTTTCACTAAAACATTGTTAATATTACATTTACGGTTTCATTAACAAATCCTGCAAGGTTTTTTCTTTTTTTTTTATTCAATTGTGGTGAAGTTATTATTTTACTTCCTGGCTGCAGACACGACATTTGCAGAGATGGTTCCGTAACTGTTCCCTAGCAACCATAATGTAAACAAGGACCAAAACTTGTCCAAATAACACAGTATGATATGATTTGACAAATAAAGATGGATGGAAACACTTGTATTTTGTTAAGTCGATGTTAAACTGTCATAAAAATGCCTTCGTTGTGAGCAAATAGTCTCTGCATTTTTGATGGAGTTTTCGTGGATTCCATTTTAGAGCTCAGAGCTATTTCTTATGTTTTTATACTTTTATTTTTTTGACTGTTTCCACAAAATGCCACTTAACTGATGAAAAATTAGGACACTTTAATGAGAAACAAAAAGATGGAAGATACAGGGTGAACATTAAAACATCACCTACATCAGCTTACTGTTATTTTTGTTTTTATGATGAAATATATTTTATTTCTGACAAGACATTTCAATTAAATTTAAATCTTTCTTCTTAAAATTACTTTTGGGTCAAGATTTAGTCAAATGTTCCTTTTTATTCTGAGGTGGTAAAAGGTTTAATTTTGAGTATCGCTTAAAAGAAAACGTTCACAATAAATCGAATGTTACTTTTGTTAATTACAAAGAGTGTGCATTTGTTTTTGTCAGTGGTGGTTTCTGAAACTGTACATCAATATTCCCTGGGGTGTGATGCTAACTGTAGGCTCTGCTCTGTCTGAGGTCCCGTCCACATTAGTACATATTCGAGTCGTGTTCGTCGAGGATGCAGTGTTCGTACACACTAATCTGACTGAAAACGGCTCCAGAGACGGATCGATCTGGTGCCGACGAGTTCATCTGAGTACAGATCTGATCCGGCGCCGTGTGGACGCCTGAAAACGCTGATACGCTGATGTAGGTCGATGCGCCGCGAAGTAACCAAAGCCAAAACGCTAAGAGGCTTGGGCTAAATCAGGCGGTGCACAGTGAGTTGTGGTTTGGTGTGACTGAATACATGTTTGGAATTTTGGACATAGAACCTCATTTCCTAGTGAGTCAGAGTGTTGGAGATGTCTGGAGACACTTTTTTAAATATTTCAACCAGTCCTTGTATTTGCAGAGGTCGCTGGTGCTAGACTAGTGCATGTCAATGGCCATAGTTATCCTGCCACTAAAAACAGTCTTACCCACTCCACAAAACACCCGAAGCAAATCAATTATTACACCAAACTGTCGATGTGAATGTCTGTGTTGATAGAAAAATGTTTGAAATAAAACTAACCTTGCATCACATGAATCATCGCATGTTGAGGGACTATTTTCTCATATATCAGTCCGCCGCTGCCGAGCTTTCTATCAGGAATTACAACATCGATAATTGATCATTAAGAATTTCGTCGATAAAGTTCATTTCTAGTTTCTGTGCTCTGGCACCTCCTTGGAGACACTGTGCCACTCAGTTTACATGCACATCAGTGTTTTCCGGTTTCGTCATGGTGCATGTAAACGCAGTCTTCCAGTTACTGCAACATAAAGAGCTGCGCTAAACCTGCACACGTACGATCTTTGAAAATATCTTTTAAAAACATCGCGAGGCTGGAATATATGTCCATTCATATATATGGTCTATGTCTATGACCTGCAGACGTATAATCTCTGAAAAGTTTAACATGAATCATCTCCAACACAATAGAAGCACAGAACAGACTCACCATCAGCAGAACACCCCTCTGTCACAGAAAAAACACATATAATCCACTGAGTCGTGTCCTTTAGTCCGGCAGAAGCTGAACCGCGTCAGAGCACAAAAAGCGAGCTGTTTTTTTGAGCCCTTAGTTTATGCAAATGAGCCGTGTCGATTTAAGTTTTGTTTCTGTAAAATGTAAACAAATGTGCTCAAAGCTGTGTGGATAGTGAAGGCTTGTGGACACAGAAACGACGTGTCTGGACGCAGATCGTTTCCGATACGGTGATACGCGGATTCGTTTGAGTGTAAACGTAGTCTGAGGCTTTGTCAGACTTTATTCTGCTCTTCATTTTAACCTTTTTGTCAAAAATCAAACCCTCAAACAGGACCATGAACGCTGGTATTGATCACAAACGATATTAAAACTTCTGTCTGCCTTTGCTAATGTTTGCACCATAGTAACTGCTGAACATTCCACCATAGAGACACATGTAGAACACCTCCAGCACGATGTCGCTGCAAAGTACCAAGAGTGTTTATATTACACAAATACCCAGCGCTTTTGAGGAAGTTTTTGTCACCGATTTCACATCTGACGTCTGCTGGTGAGGAAAAAAATCTAATAAACTTAAGATTGTGACCTTTAACAACGTACTGTGGAACATTTCATATCTCCGTGGAAACAACCAGACTATGTTGTGTATGGAAAACTGACAATTGTCGTACTTTTATGCCCCTTAGCCATGATTTTAAATCATGTTTTGTACCTTAAAAACCTGAAAAGACAAGAAAAGTCCATTTTAAAACAGTTTGTAGCAGTTCAAAGTTCTTCCTCATTTACCTTATGCATTCCAAGCGTGAGTTTATAAGCATTTTTTACGAGTTTTAAAGACCAGAGCAGAGTTTTATGGTGACGGTAAAGCTGACAACTACTACTACTTGATTCTCGAACAATAAAACACTTGATAATTAAACTCAGACACTGCACAACAGACTTATTTTGACCTCAAGAGCTGCTTTTACAATAAATCCGCACCGGGGTAAGACACATTTTGGTCAAATAGTCTAACACGGGTTAAAAATAATCTGATACGTCCGCTTTAACTTTTAACTTTGGTCGCGTTGAACCCTGTAATTGCCCTCTCGTGCCCCGTGTGGAACTGTAGACATCTGGCATGATTAACTCTGTGCTGCGGGCGCCTGCTTTTACTTTCAGCCGTTGTTAGTCACCCAAACCCTCCCAGCTCCTGTGACCAACTCTGCAACCAACCAACCAGGCCAGCCTCTGAAACGGGGAGATCACAGGCCAGACTCGCGTGCCCGTTCGCCCAGTACGCTAAAAGGTTGCGTGTTATATTATATCGTTGATGCATGTGTCCAAATCGTTTCCCTTGTGGATCAATAAAGTTTGTCTAAGTCTAAGCTCCCAAGGTCAAATTAAGTCTGTTGTGTACTGTCTGCGTCGAATTAGAAAGCATTGGATTGTTTGAGAATGAGGAAGTGCGTGTTTACATGCTCTGGTCTTTGAAATTTGTGGAAAAACTCATGGCAAAGACAAAATTTCAGAGCAGCGTCTTTAAAACTTTCAAATTAAAACACTTGTGCCTTATAAAATGGCACCACTTTCTGATGCAAATGTGAACAAATAATTTCCCTTTTTTAAAATTTGTCCTGACAGAGAAGCGATCCACCGCCGACAGAAGCTGACCACATCATTGCACAAGGAGCGAGCTTTTTTTCCAGCACTTATAGGCCCCGTCCACACTAGTAACTATTCAAATCATTTTCATTGTGGGTGCAGTGTTCGTCCACACTAATCTGATTGAAAATGGCTCCAGAGACGGAACGATCTGGTGCCGCCAGCTCCCACGAATTCATCTGAGTACAGATCTGATCTGGCACTGTGTGGATGCCTGAAAACACTGATACGCTGATGTAGGTCTATGGACTGCCAAGTAGGCAAATTCACCACCAAAACACTAAGAGGCTAGCATATATTCATATATACGGTCTATGTGTACGACCTGCAGACGTATAATCTCTGAAAAGTTTAACATGAACCATCTCCAACGTGACACACACACAGAACAGACTCACCATCAGCAGCACATCCTCTGTCACAAAACAACAAACATATATTCTGCTGAGACTTGTCCTTTAGTCTGACAGAAGCTGAACCACATCAGTGCACAATACTGAGCTGTTTTTGCTCAATATATGCAAATTAGCCATGCGGTTTTAAGTTTTGTTTCTGAAAAACATAAACACATATGCGAGGATTGTGGATACAGAAACGATGTGTGTGGATGCAGATCATTTCTGATACGGTGGTAAGTGAATTTGTTTAAGTGTAAACGAGGGCATAGTTTATGCAAATGAGCCATGTGGCTTTAAGTTTTGTTTCTTTAAAATATAAACAAATGTGCACAAAGCTGCATTAAACACAGTATTACTCAATGTATATTTGACTCCCCCTTGTAGGATTTTTTTTTTAAAATGTAATGATCCACACACATGCACATTCATAATCCACATTCACCATGACAAGGAGGCAACGCCGGGAGAATTACACCACGATCTGCCAATGGATTGTGGACGCCTGTGCTAAAGATCAGTCTCAAGTGTCTTAATGCCCCTTTTAATCCGGTGCACCTTATGTATAAAAATAAATGAGAGAATTCAACATTGCTGATATTGCGCCTTATAATCCGGTGCACCTTATAGTCCGAAAAATATGGTAGATATTTTCCCGAAGGCTGTCCTATGCTCTTTTTTAAAATGCATGACTGTTTCCCACAGCTCAGTTAGGACATTTTCCCACGGTCTGATATTTTCTGATCAAGTGAACCAAAGTATAATAGGCTATGTGGGTTTTTTCGGAAGGTTCAATGCGTGTCCAAGTACAACTGCCACCCCGGAACGACGTCTCTGACCAACTCAAAATCAAGGGTAGCTTTATACTACATCTTGACAAAACATTAACTTGTTGATTTAGCATATACAGCAAGAAAATGAACAATACTGCTGACCCAGTACACCTTATCATGGGTGGGAACATGCCACGGGGACCACATATGTCAGTTTTGCTGCTTCGTGGCATCTCAAAGTACAGAAAAAACATGTTCTTTATGGCACTCAAAGTACAGAAAAAACATGTTATATAGACCTATAGATAGTCATACGTGTTTTCCACCCTGTTGTCATTCCAAAGTCCATAATATTGGGTGAATTAGCATGACCAACACATAATATCTCCCACAGCTATCACATTAATATTATTCATGTCGGAAAAGCGGAACGTTTGAAAAATAGTAAAGTGCGGCTACTCCCACAATGAAAAAAAAAATTCAAAGTAGTGGGACGCTTGAAAAATAATGTTTATGCCGCTACTCCGACAATTAGACACCAAAGTCTAAATAGCAGCACAGAGAAGACATTGAACTTTATGCCGGCTTTTCTTTCATGTGGATAGGCGCAGGAATTCCAGAGACGTGAACCAC